ATTTGCATATAAAACATCAAATGTAGGAGACTATATTTAGATTTTTAAAATAGAATGTGATTTAATTTGTAAATTCCCCTAAAAGATTTTTTTTTGTTTTACTTGTTCTTCTAAAACGAGATAGAAAATATAGTTACACCGTCTAGATATTAGAGTGGGAAACGGATTTGTTGAGAATTGAGAGAGACCAAATACCTTTCTATTTAATATTCATGAAAGTGACCTTTGGAGTTGCAACCTAGGTTAAGGAATATGATTTAATTTAATACAAGGAAAAAGTTTATATAAGGATGGAACCTTATAATGTAGAGCTATGATGCACCTCAAAAATCCATTGGAAAAGGTAGTTTGTATGACCATGAAAAATAAAAGATTTTAAGTCTTAGAAATAGTGCATTTTACAACATATTATCTACACCGCCCATTTTTAAGATTTTCATATGTTTATAGATCTACTTAATTTTAACCATTTTTGAAATTTAAAATTTTATAATTAGATATAAATATAGATTTTGAGATAATTCTAATAACATTTTACATCAAAATTATATACCATGATAAAATTTGAATATGCACCTTACCTCAAAAGCCACTCCGGATACATATGTATGTCAACTGCATCCTTAATACAAAGAACTATGATTTAATGGATCCAACTGCTTTCATCAAAGGAAGATAATTATGTGAGCCCAACGGCAATCTAGGCTGGACGGCTCAGATTGTATAAAAAGAGGTAATCTCAAATGGCGAACATATTTGCCGTATCAAAATTTAGATTTTTCATATCATTACTCTTTTTGGAAAAAAAAAAAACAAGGTGTTTTACTAACATACAAATCTAGTCATTCTGTCACTTTTTTTTTCTTCAATATCGGCTGTCTAACTCGTAGGCTCATGTAATCATTTTCCTGATTTAGTCTTAGAAAGGTTCAAATTTTGGTTGTTCTGATTGAATCAATTGGACCATTTTTTAAAAAAAAGGAATTAAAAATAATTATTTAATGTTATAAAATACATGATAGAAACTAAAAGGAGATGTCGAACTGTATTAGACAATCTAATCCATCTAAATTGATTGATCCGACAAGCCAAAATTGATCCAACTTTTGCTGTACGCTACACCAATCGTGGACCACGATATGATTTTTAGGAGAGGGAGAGAATATAAGATGAGTGTGCATAGCACGCTTGTGCAGGATCAATGTACAACTCCCTTAGGCAATAGAGCAACTTTGAGAGAATTTTTTCTGTCTGAAATGTTGGACTCTAAATATAACAAGATGGTTTTCTTTCAAGAGAAAAAAAAAGAAAAAAAGAAAAGATTTTGAGTTCTATAATACCTCGATCTTGTTTTTTTGAGTAAATGATCCTATGAGACCCTCCCATGCTCATATGATAACTTTTCTAGATATATGCGCTAAATTTAATAATGATCCTTTAGCGTTCTACATACATAAGTGTTCATGAATTTAGGGAATTAGGCTATCTTCATTAGCCTCACAATAAGTTATTACATAAATCCATGACCTCCAACCATATTGTCTACAATCTCCAACGTGGTTTTAACTCCTTTTTATTATTTTTATTTTTATTTTGGGTAATTCAATAGGGAAGACAGACCCCGACTCGTTTTTTCAAATAGATTAAAGAATTAGAGATTTTGAAAGTGCCACAACGTGGTAACCAAGTAGAGGGGTGCTACCACCATGACACAACCCCTTTCCTAGGTTTGGACTCTTTTCGGCACCAATTAATGAAATTTAGAGAGTGTCATTCAATGATACACCGACTGATTTGTCTAGGCCCTACGGCAAGTTGTTGTTTGTTGTTGTTGCCTTTAACACCCCAATCTTGCCCTCTTAAAATTAGATAGTTCCTATTCAATCTTGGGACATTATTTTTTTAACAGTGTAAATCAAATTTATTTAAGTTTGGTTATTAAGTTTTTAGAGGTTACAGCTCTAGAACATAAGGTCGAAAATGCATTCTTCTGATGGAGCAAATGTACAGTATACTCTGAAGCTGTAAATATTTATTTTCCTTGCTCTTATAATTTGGTTTTTTAGCTAAAAAAAATCGTTTTTTAATTTGTAAAGTGGGCAATGTGAGAAAGGGGAAGGTTTGAATGTTTGGTTATTTGCTGGCATTTGTCCATCTTACACTTCATTTGGGAACCTTCGCTTTTAGTCTACGCACGTGACACAAACTCCACTATAAAATGCATCCACACGTGTAAAAGCTAAAACTCCAATAGAAAGCCCCTAGAGGATTTATGCTCCTCCAGGAGTATGCTATTTAGTTACTCCCTCGTACGAAGCCTAATCTAAGAGTAACTTTAGCAGGTTTAACATCTTTAGCCCACATATTAATCTTAATAAATATGTCTACACACTTTAAAAAAAAACAGTTTTGATATGAGGCATAGATTATCTTAAGCTTTGGAGGGTGTGTTCTAATTGTTAGGAAACTGAACATTCAAACTTCTCTTTTTGAAAATAATTTTCTATTAATTCTTACGTAATTCTTGAAACTCCAAA